GGTACATGGTAAGCTGATGATTTTGTTTTCTTGGCAGGTGGGAGCTGGATGGATTGGAAAATGTAAGTACTTTGTTGCAGGATTTATCTTTCTTTTTGAATTAACAACAAAAATGTGCAAATTGTCTGTGCAGTTAAGGTCTGCTCAAGACACTTTTATTCAGGAAGAGAAGATTAAAAAATACCAGGTTCTGAGGACACTGCTTGTTCTAAGTAGAAGTCAGAAATTTAAGTTCTTGTGGGGGTAACTTGTAACTTAGGTATGTGCTTTCTTATGCTTTTGGGAAGACTAAATAGTAACTGAAGATCTGCCTGAGTAACCTTAACTCTTGGGTCCCAGATGGAGTTCAAGTCCATAAGAATCTCCATTTTTGGTGCTAAGTATACATTGTTGCCTTTTCTTGTTAACTTTAATTTTTCAAGATACAAAAGTAGCAAATGCTGGTACACAGGCAGCTTTTTAGTTGCTTTCTGCCTTTTTAAGCTACGCTGCTATGTTTTTATGGAAGTATAAACATGTTGAGGCAATTAGCCTTCTTAATTACCAGTAGCAATGCTAACTATGTATCTTGGTTGAGTGACTCCAATAACTAGCTTAAATATGAACACGGATAAAACTCACAGACAACACTGAGGGCTTATGAGAAGAAAAAAATTTCTGTGTGTGAAATACCTTAACTTTTTTCCTAAGTGTGTTGAACCTAATACCAGCATTATTTTCATGAGCTATTCAGCTTTCAACTTTTCAGCTTACATGAATATCACCAGTAGGCTGGAAGTAGGGCCTTAATTCAAGAAGTTATTCCCCCTTCCTTTCAAACATTTCTTTTTTACCCACATATCTAACTTCTAGTGTTCTGGTGGCACTGGAATAGCTTTTCCCAGAAAGTGTATGAAAAGGTTTAAAAGAAGTGGGGCAGGTGCAGATGTTTTGCTCCCCTCCGCAAGAAGTTAAGTTTCAATACAGCTGAAAATCTCCCCTCTGATCAAAAGCAAATACAATGTTTTATCATCATAACGGCTATTGTAGAAGTTTATGAGGTACCAGTATGGTCTTATTCATTGCCTATTACTAATTCAGAGCAAAACCAACATGACAGGTTAAGTATTAGTTGCAATGCAGGAAGTCTGTATCCTTCCAGAACTGGTTACACACTGGCATTACCAGTTTCTCTCAGGTTCCTGTAATGAAATACAATTTCAGAGACCACTTGGAGATGCTGGCTACTGGTATTAACATTCTTTCATGGACAGTAAGTGGTTTTCACATTTTCCCTATAGTTTTCCGTGGCTTTCAGAAGATTTCTAAGCATTAGTAGTCAAAATTGTGCCAGAAGAGAAGATCTATAGATACATACTGGCTATGGCTTTTCACTAGACAGAATCCTAAAACTGATGTAATATCTTTTGAGAACAGTCAGTCTGTTGTGGCTTCAATGAAATTTAAAACCAGTGCTATCCTCCTCTTAAATGCTAATTAAAAACAGTGAGCCCTCTTAATCCAGCTTGTAGTTTTACTGGTGAGTTATGTTGGAGCTCTTACTGTAATATCTTGAAATTAGTGGCCTAGGTGAAAGTTATCTACAGAAATGAAAAGCATCTTTGTTTATTAAGTGAACTCTCTGGCTCATGTTTCCCATTAGTGCGCTGGGAGCGATCCTTGGGTGCTATTGTCAGAGGAAAGAATCAGCCAATGACACCTGAAGCAGTGAGAGATAAATGGGAGAAAGTCTGTGACTTTGATAATGCCAGCAAACCCAGGACCATCCAAGGTAAAGGAGACTTTGATGAGAGTTTGGTTTATTCTGCCTGGAGAAGAGAATGTTCTGGGGAAACCTTGTTGGAGCCTTTCGGTACTTAAAGGGGACCCGTAAGAGAGACGGACACACTTTTTAGTAAAGCCTGTTACAAAGGACAAGTGGCCATGGCTTTAAACTAAAAGAGGGTCAATTTAGATTAGATGTAAGAAATAAGTTTTTTACAGTGAGGATGGTGAAATACTGGCATTGGTTGCCCAGAGAGGTGGCAGATGCCCCATCCCTGGAAGCATTCAGGGTCTGGTCAGATGGGGCTTTGAGCAACCTGATATACTTGAAGATGTTCCTGCTCAGAGGAATTGCAGGGATGTGGGACTAGCTGACCTTGTAGAATTATGACACAATATTATCTAAAGAGTTTCTAGAGAAGCAACATTGCTGCCATTTTATGTGTTACAGTCAGACTAATTATACATACAGGCAGTAGGAGTGTAGTAGTGAGAGACTGTGTTTTCCTTTTGGACCTGGAATCTTGGTTTTTGGTCAACATTTCTATACCAAAAAGCTCTCTGGTTAAGTCATGTAATATATCATAGCAAAAAGTTCTTACTGTGCCTTATGTTTCTGGGTCACATTATCCCCTTGGCTGGTGACCAAGATGATTGTCTCTTCCAATGCTCTGTTTACTTGTTAAACAAACTTTACTGTACCTTGCCAGCATTTAAGAGTGTGGGGTAACAGAGAAAGAGGCATCTTTATCTACAATGCCAGTTGAATTACAAAGACACTTAGATACACAGTAGATGTTTAAGCTGTTGGTTGTGAAATCCATTTTGTTTAAACCTTAGGGATATGTTTTTAATGCCTAAACCAAAACCAGAGTAAGAGACACTTTGTCCTTTCTGTCACATCTTGGCAGGGGAATGTAACTACCATACTGTAGTTCTAGATCACCTTACTGATGTTTGACTTACAGGTGTTCTGTTTCCTGTATGTGAGTTTGTACATGTTCTCTATCCTGCTAAGAAATAGTATTTGTAACAGCATAATTCCAGCTTTATAGCTTCTAATCTCTTCTCCAACTTGTCACATGTATTATGTTATTTTTATGGGTTGCTAGTTGTAGAAAATGAAATGTAGATAGGAATTTCTTTTCAAAGTTACTTTAACATTATGTATGATATTCCACATCTGCCACTTGATGCTATCAGGAGAAAAAAGTTGGACAAGATTTCGAACTTCTGAAGTAAATGTGCATTAATTTGTTGTATGCGAGAATCAGCGGAAGGGTTGAGGAAAATTCTAAAGAATTTAGCTGAGTAGAATTTTTAGACCTACTATTGGTTTTTTCTACTGCAAAGTCTCCACTTTACTGCTTGAATGTATTTGACTGTTAAATAAGGGAAAATAATTACTTGCCTTAAAAGCTACAATACCTAATATCTGCAACTTAAAACTCTTCCAGAAGATTTCATTAATGTAAGTAATTTGATGCTATGAAAAGCATTTGTGTACTAAACATTGTCTAATAAAAAAACCCAGACAAAAAAAGTAATTATAGAAAATATTTGCTTTTAATGTAGTGGAAAATCCTATAATCTGTGGTGTTAATCTTATTTCTTAGTTTGGTAATACTGTTAAGAGTAGTTTGACTTTTCGGCTTTACATCCTGTTCATAGCAGGAGGACCAAATTAACTGTGATACAGAATGTCAGTGTGTGGTGCATGGTGCAGTAGGTCACAGCAGCACACTGCACTACATGTTGGTGTGTTTTCTCCTCATATTCCCTCTCAGACCAAGCTAGATGCAGTAGCCCTTTCCTCCACAGTGTTCTGCTTGTTCTTGTGTCATTGTCTGATTCTTCCTGTTGTGGGAAAGGAATCAGATTGTGTTGTGGTACAGGCAGAAAACAGCCCTCCCTGTCTTGCAGATCGCATACTGTGTACATCATTCTGTAGTATGTATTGCACAAGCAATTATGTTTACCTGTTTTGTTAGCTAGGGAAACCAGATTTATTAAATGTTACCCATATGAGGCACTCTGTCTCAATTTCCTTCTCAGTTGTGAAGGTGTAAGCCAGTTTGACCTAAATCTAGTAGTTTAGAGGTCTGCCAACTCTTAGATTTATGTACATTTTAAATTCTTTTAGAACCTATCTGTGTACAAAAGCCAACTTAAGTATTCTCTCTGGCTGACTTCTGGCATAGAGAAAACTAGTCTAAGACTCATCGATGGTGTGTATGTATGTCAAGGAAAAAATTTCCTAGGAGGA